AATGCAGTTTCAATGGACACTTGCTGCTCATCAAATTGACTACAGAATTTCTACAGCTCACCATGGCATCATGGGTTTTCTTTAGAATAACCCAATTTCTAAAAAAAGTGAAAGACCTGGAACCGAAAAAAGTGCAAGGCATCAAGAACGGATCCTACTGGAAAACAATGCATGGGGCACCTGAGATGAGATCTAGAAGAAGTTCCATGTGGCTGGTTTCAGGTGAGAAAGCAGGAGTACATCTTTGAAGACATCCCTAATCAGATTTGCACGCACCCTCACCAGCCCGAAAGTACATTCTCGTCTGACAATGTGGGGTAATTGTCGCTGGGCCAGGGGGTTGGTGGTCGGGGTTTGTTGGGAGTGCATGAAAAATAGCGCCAGGTAGCCTAGCTTGGCTGTTTAGTCTGCGAAAGAGACGAGCTGTGGTGTACTACAACTAATTCCCAATGCTGATTTGAAAGCACACCACAACTTGTTTTCTTCATGCTTGGTAAATGCAGCGGGCTCTCCATCAATTGGTGCATCAATAGCACATGCAACGCCATCAACCGTATGTCATGCAAAGAGTGTTTGGAAACCTGAACCCTAAATGCCATTTTGTTACGCTGTTGTTTCTCCGGTTGGCAAGATTCCACCATGCCTCACCAAAGTTCAACTGCAAGGAAGACCAATGGAGCTAACAGGATCCCGTTGCCCCTTGCATGGAAAACATAAATGAGAAAGACATTTATAGCACTTGCTTGAGCCATAAACATAAAGGATAACGAAATGTTGCACCCACAGATCATCAGTCGATTTTTGTAACAGTGGAATGCCAGCCCGACACGGGTACTACCCAGCCGGAACTGAACTGACGACACATGGATGGGCCAAGGCGTTCAAAATCCAGGACAACCCCACGACCAAGGCCCGTTAAAGGTTATTTGACACGCGAAATAGCGGATGCATGATCAACACCCAGAGGCCAATGAATCACTGGAAGTGACGAAATTGCAATTCGAAAATACAATTTTGCACATGAGGGCGACGCGGGCAGTGGGATAGGACGAAATGATGGCAGAGTGTCTAAACAGGCACAGGACATCTAATTACCACATTTGACGACCATTGCTCACATAAACTTCCAACTGTATAATCCCAGGTGCTTGGAAGCAAGCAGGATCAGTGCAATACGCAAAGGGCACATAATATTGACTACACCATCCGACTACCGTCCAGTCTCATTTCTTTAGCCATGGCAGGTTAGCGGAGCAGTTCGCCACCACATGGAAGGTGACACATTGGCCGGAGAACCACAACAAATTGTCTCCGCAAGCAGTGTGTTTTTGGACAAGACGATACAGAGTCAGTACTTTGGAAATTTGTCAATGCAACTTTCAACGCCATGAAAAGTAGGAGATAACTTGGGGTTGTCTTCCTCGATCTCTAATGAGCCTATCACCGAGTTTAGAAGACCAGGTTTCTGTCCAAATTAATACACCAAATTGTCCAACGAGATGTGCGGGGAACTTTATCCGTGACCGATGGGAATAGTTGCAAGTGGGCAACGCTATTCGATTACATGAATTGACTATGGTGTCCCTCAAAGGTCACCTATTTCTCGCATATTGTTTCTGATTTTCATGGACCCCACCATCGGGGCGGTACAGGATATAGCGGATGCCCAAGCATACGCAAATATCTTAGTCATCTGTCTGAAAAAGGGCCACAAGGCCACGGGGTACTGGCGTCTGTGCAATATTTATGCACTACTTACTAACATTATATCATTTCACTGCAGGAGATCAGGTGTTGATGAAGCAAACGTCTTTGTGCAGAAACGTCTTTGTTTGGGGCCTTAGCTTGAAGTGGCTATGGATCCTTAATTCCACCAACAGGAAAACTCAACACACGAGGTTTTCCCTCTCCAAATGCACAGTGCCAGGGTTTGCTACTTCCAGGCTTCGCCTGGAAGACCAGGACAAATATGTTTCGACCGCCACGCGGTATTCACCCCAATCCATGTTTTGACTATTGAAATTGTTGTTTGTTATAGAGCAAAGAATGCACAATCAACCAGACGCATGTCAATGCTTCAAAAGGCATTTCTTGTACATATAGAAGGTACCCTTTCTGTCCTCTTAGATTCCGTACCAACTGCTTTCTCAAGGGAAAAGATCGGCGTTAGATGTTCGAATACCTTCAAAAAATTGGCGCCGTCTGTAACAGTATTGGGTGAATGACACATGCTTCGAATTGAATAGTCCTACATGTACTGCTCCATAGCAGAAGAAGAAAGGCCACCACAGCATCGAGCATTTCTGTTCTGAAGGAAAACCTGTCGCACTGCTGTTGATGCAATGCAAACAACACCAAGCCGCATTTGAAATGTTTGTATCAATTAGCCAATATTGCATTGTACAAGACCTGCTGGTTTTGGGGGAGCATCACACCAGCCAGCAAGGACGCCAGTCGTATCAGCATTCACAGACAACATGCTTCTGTGTGACACTCCAGTAGAACGCAAGAGCTTATTAGCCTGTGTGCACAAAAGATCGCTCTGGTCAACCACCATACAATCCTGAGATGGTGACGGAGATGCAAATTTCTACGATTCCGAGGGGCATTGCAGCGTGGTAGACACAATGGACGGATGTCCGCATAAGGCCAATCCCACTCCGCAAGGGGGCAAACATCACTGAAAATGTCTATGCAACCCACCACCTTCCCTTTTCTACATATGCAAAAGCAAAACAACAACAACAACAACACCGGCCTGCACACTGATTTACCGCTTGACATGTTTCGGAGCAGAGCAGGGGACAACTTTGCCTCACCCATTACAGTTGGAGCACATGCAAGTCCCCGTCCAATAGCATTTCGGCGATGCCTGCACTCCGCCCAGTAGTTTGTCGCCCATGTCACGAACGCCATCCCAGCGCTCCAAGACAGTGGCGTCATTCTGCCCAGTACTTTGCCACCTGCAGGCCAAACGCTCGACCCTGAACAAAACGGCGCAAAAAAATGCCGGCGAAACGGAACAAGTCGGGTCTCTCGAATTGGCCTCCAAGAGGTATTGCGGACCCACATGAAGTCATTTTCAGTTTCGTTTCCTTTTCGTTTTCATTTCCATTCTTCGTTTTGCATTTCTTGGATCCTCGAAAAGGCGCGACCCAGGTCCTGTGGAGACGGGCGAGAGGTGAGTGGCCGATCTGTGCCGTAGCATCGTATACGCATCGTATATAACATACACATGACACATCGTATATCGTACACATGGCGTACCGTACCGTATGTATTGCTCTTGCGAGCGACCCACGAGTTGATGGCAGCCAACAAGGAAGAAGGGACGCACGGCCGCGCTGGCCTTTAGCCGCGGCGTATTCGAATACGGCGTAGTAATGATTATTAATAATGGCTCGTAATACGCCGTATGCGCATTATTTGTGAGGCGGGAACAAGGCGGGCACCTCGGTCGCTTTGAAAAACGAGGTTTCGCCGGGTTGCTCCGCGCCCAGGTGCCCCGCCACACAGCCACTGCCATCGGTCCTCGCGGGTTGTCGGGATCTCAGGGCCTGGCGTTGGGCATTTGCAAGCCGCTGGATGCCCCAGCACATGGCGCCCGTGAGACGTGGGCGCCGGCCGGGCATCGACAGATCAGCGCCCTCGGCCTTTGACGGGGTCACCATCGCAAGAGACCGTGCCGGCCACCGGCGGAAATCAGATTAAGTTGATTGCCCCCCTCCCGGGGAGGGGGAGCTATCACAAAGTGCAGGGAAAGTACAAGCAATCCATGGCAAAAAGTATGGAGAAACGGACAAGTACGGACAAACAAACACAGAACAGAAAAATGAAGAGGTTGAAAAAGCAACGGCGCACCAACCTGGCCCACTCGTCGAGGCGCCACATCTCTTATTTCGGATCCCGCTGCTCGATGGCCACCCCTCCCCGCCAAAGCCTCGCACCGCACAGCCGTCATCCCGGGCGTCCAACGTCTGGACCCAGTCTGCGGACCCGGATTGCGGATCCCGGACAGGCATGTCGGTGCCGGGCAGACACGACTCACGCCGATGTCGAGGTGTCGTGTCGACGCGATCGCCGCCGGCCGTCAGCGAGATCAAATGCCAGAATCTGGTTCCCAGCAAGCTCCGCCCCCAGCGATCCAGCTGGGGGGTTCCCCCGGCCCGAGATGCGATCGGCGAAGGGAGGGAGGGAGGGCCGCCCGGCGAAGCGGCGGCGGCGGGCGCGGGCAGGGCGCCGCGGCACCCGCGGCACGGCGAGCCTCCTCTACGTTGGCCGTCCGCAAACGAGAAAGCGAAGTCGACCATGCTGGATCGAACGACACTCCACCTTTTTATTTGGGAAAATGACAAAAGCAGGTCCTCTGTGAGATATCTTGACAAAAGGGGGGTCCTCTGTGACAAAAGGGGGTCCTTTGCGGGGGTGCATTTGACAAAAAAAGGGTCTCCTCTGAACGGCCCCCGTACATTAGGGGCGTTGCCAGACCGGCGCTAGACCGGCGCCAGACCGACGCCGTACCGGCACCGGTCTGGCGCCAGACCGGACCACGGTTCTACTAGGGGCGACCCCTCTGTGAGGGCGCAGGGAGCACGCAGCTGTTGGAGCTGCGGGAGGGAGTCGTAGCGTTCGGAGCTGCGGGGGAGACCAAGCGGCGATCGGGGCTGCGGGAAGAGCAAGCGTTCCGATCTCTACGACTCCCTCTTGGAGCTCCAATCGCCACTTGATCTCCCTGGTAGCTCCGATTACCCTTTGCTCTCACTGCAGCTCCGGTCTCCGCTTGTGTTGAGTTTCTGTTTTCTATTTTTCATTTCATTTGTTTGCTCTTTTCTGTTCTTTTTTTTGTCTCGAAACGAGTTTTTTTGCCTATCTGGGGGTGGATTGGTTTGGGGGTTGGTTGGGTTGGTTTGGCCTTGCCGCCACAAAACCACTCCTCGCCTTGCCCATGCGCGCCTCTAAAACCAGTCGACGCATCCCGAGGCGCGGCGCGGCGGCCGCAGATGACGGACCCCTATTCGGAGGAAATGGGCCACGCCGCGGAGGCTGGCGGCCGATCGGAGGCCGACGGGGGCCTGGGCGGGGGCGGGGCACAGGTGCGGGAGCAAAATCTCGTCACCATCTTGTCAGCCTGTGGATGTTTGGGCTGGCGTACGCGCCGAAATCTTGCTTTTTATGACCTGTGGGTGTTTGTTCGAGCGTGCAAATCGCGATTTGCGTATGTGTTGGGCAGGCGTCTGTTTTACATGGAGTGGGGAATTTGGAATATGGGGGCCAATCGCTGGCAACGGTGGCGGCCACTGCTGGGAGGGATGGGCGGGGGTCGGGCTCCACCGCCGCGGATCTGTCGCGGCACGTCGATTGATGGGCCGGAACCTTTGCGCGGTCGGTCGCTGTTCAAGCACTCTGGGGCGGGGGCGGCGATGGTCGCCGATCCATCATGGCTTCGAACTCTACCTCGCCCCGCTGATGAAACTACCGTTTCTGGCACTGTTGGCAGCGCCTGCAGCGTCCTCGAGCATTAAAAAGCACGTCGCGATCAGAAACTTTATGTGAGGCAGGACCCAGGCGTTGGGAGCCGGTACATTCGTTTTGGGCAGAAGCGGGCACTATAGCGGGGAAATATTTTGGTCCTAATTTTGGAAAATTTTTGAGCATGGATCAGTTGCCAGAACAAGGCAATCCGTAAACAAGTACATGGGAAGTAAGGCCCTGGTACCTTGAAGGTACTAGACAATGTATGGAAATCGGGCCAATGCTTAATTTGTCATTTGCATTATTCCGCCACGAGAATATGACCCCATGAGCACTCTCCCAGGCATGGTAATACCACCCATAGGTGAAGGGGGTCTTGCTGCAAAGGCAGGGAATAGTAACGGGGTGCCATCATCAATCCCACGCATACCCTTGAACCGTGCTTCCCATTTTGTCATCTGGAGCCCTACGATGGCCTTTCCCGGGCTGTGCCTCCTAACTCAACAGCATCTGCGTCCAGCCATGGCATCGACGAATTGATACACTTTCAGATGCTGTGTGGAGCTTACTGTGCGGCTTGTTCCATGAGGAGGTTGGCTGTGTCCATTGTTTGGAAGAGCTCTTTTCTTGTATCCTGTCATTGTAGTATTGACAGGGACATACTGCAGGAAAACAAGGCGGTCATGTCACTTCCCATTCTGTAAAGACAGTTCTAAACAGCTGCAAATCCACAGCGGCAACAATGTTTCCCCTAGGTAACTTGAGACTGTACCCTGAATAACTGCATCAGATTCTAACATGCTGCAGTGCACATCCCAACAGCAAGGATCCCAGGCACCTCAGGAATGCACAGCCATTGCATGGTCAAAGGCCTCTGCTGTTCTTGGCTGCTGTTTGAGTCCGTTTGAAAGTCCTAGGTGTAGTCATTTTCTGGAGAGAGCAGCCAGCAAGACTCTCTCTGTGCCGCAGCATCGTGAGAAGTCTTAAAAATGAGCTTTTTACTATTTTTAGCATGATTTAGGGTATCCTCAATAAATTACCTGAGCATCGCTTTGACAATACGTGGGACAAAGTCAGCACATGGTTAAAGACACATACCTTGCTCTAACTTTGCACCCAAGAGGATTGTCTATGTTTACATATGAGATGTGTGGTGTGTTGTTGGTTCATAACACATATTCATAAGTGCTAATCGTGCAAAGCCCGGCGGTCCGTTATAGCAAGGGCAGGAGTTACAGATGCTGAGTAGCCCCTCCAAGGGTGGCATGTTTGCACTCCGCCATCACAGGTTCACAGGAACTGACTGTATTCTGGAGGGTTGCGACATCGAGATGCAAGTGTATCACTGATCGATGTTTTCAGCATTACCATTAGGAGCAAATTCAGTGCTTGGCTGGGTGCTCAACAGTCTAAATGGAGGAAAATCTGTTCAAAGCATATGCGCTCTGGAGTGAACAGCCCTTGCGTGCTTCTCTGCAGGGACTGGCAGTGCCAATGGTAGACATGTCCACAGATGAGGAGGTCGCTGCAGCAGTGGTCAGGCAGGCCTGCACCACCCTTGGTTTCTTCAAAGGTGCCAACGATCTCCCTGCCGAAGCACTGGACTGATTGCCATTTGCTGGAGTAATGTACATTACGGCAGCAATGGTGCACTTGCAAGAGAAGATGCTGTCGACATTGTCAGTTCATTGTCTTGAGGCTGCGAATGGCAAGACTCAATTTTGGTTGTAACTTCCCATTGTGGTGTTTTAAGAAGTTCATGAAGCAGACTTGCAACGTCCACTTGCTTGGTGACCAACAGTTTACAAATTACCCTCTGGTACATGGCTGAGCTGCAGTTGTCCACCAAGTGGCAGTTGATCACTGGCAGTCTCAATGATGAGGGCCACTTGTCATATTCCATACTTCATTCTAGACTTCTGAGTCCATTCAATGTCTGCTTACTTGGTGAGTGTTCGTTAAAGAATCATTTCCTGGCATGATACTGAACTACAGTCGTCTACAGGGTGCCAATTGAACACTGTCAGGTGAGGGTAGCACTGCATGAACAGAGAACCGAAGTGGACCTCATCGTGCATGTGGCCAGCCGCTTTGTCAATACAAGCAATCATGCACAAGCAATCTGGGATCGGCTGCTCTCCATCTCTGCCGATTCTGAACCCAATTTTCTTTATCTCATTCTAGGAAGCGACAGACCCTTGAGCCGCAATTCACACAGATCTTGCCGCCAATCAGTCCTTTACCATCATTTGTCATGTTCAGTACATCATGGTGAAGCTGTCTGTTAGCGGTTTGCTGTGGGCCCCCAGTGGCCAACCATGGCGTGCCGCAGGCCCTTGTGGACGCCTTCTTCGAACACTGCCACCGCCTTTTCGCCCTGCCCATCGCCGAGAAAATGGCCATGCTGCAGGACGTGAACAACCGTGGCTACACACCCATGGCAGAGGAGACCCTAGATCCTGGTGCCCAGAGTGCGCCCGACACGAAGGAGGGGTTCTATTTTGGGAGGGAGGTGGCCCTGGGCAGCGAGGAGGCCAGCAAGCCGCTGCACGGGCCCAACCAGTGGCCGGATGAGGCTTCTGTACCAGGATTCAGGGATGGCGCCACGCAGTACTATGAAGCCCTCAGGGGGCTTGCCATGAGGTGTGTTAAAGTGCGGGTTTTTGTTTGTTGAGCACCCTTGTGGACAAGCAGAGTACAAGGTTTGGATCGCAATCGTGCTTATGGTGCTTTGCTGCATCTGCTGTGATCAACCAAAAGGGTGAAGCTCTGAGAGTTGCATTGTGCAGCAGCTACAACAAGCTAAAGAGCTGCACAATTTTGGACCAAAAGTTGCATCACACAGCCGTTTGTCATATAGGTGGATGATGATGGAATGAAATGGAATGTGATGTTCGATCGTTCGATGATCTATTGATGTCGCGCCTGCAGGCTGTTGCGGCTGTTCGCCCGTGCACTGAACCTGGCCCCAGAGTTCTTCGATGACAAGTTCACGCGCCCCATCGTGTCGCTCAGGCCGCTGCACTACTCGGCGCAGGTGTCACAGCCCGAGGCGGGGACCTTTGGGGCAGGTCCGACGTGCTTTTGTTTAACGAACACGTATTGACGAGGTGGAACTTATGGATTTAGCTATTGATTGAGTATTAAGAAATCCAAAATCTATTCTGTTTGCTTGCGTCATAAATGTCAAATGTAATGGATTTAATGTAGTGAATCGGTCCGAGAATTTGCGGCTGTCTCACATTTCGAGTATTTTAGTCGTTCTCAATGATTGCGCTCCTGACAAGTGTTGCTGTGATTGTTACTTTAGTAAAAAAATGCAACGGTGACATATTTCCTGCTTTGCAGTACTTTGCCAGCATTACTGTTGTTATTTACTGTAGCTATTGTGATTTGTTACTGCCAGTTAGTGTCTGTTATGCTGTTTTGCATTGCCCATAGTACGTGTTCTGGTGTCATGTCAGGCGCCCACACGGACTATGGCATGCTCACCATTCTCGCAACGGATGACACGCCGGGTCTCCAGATCCACGTGGGTGGGCAGTGGATCGACGTTCCTCCACAGCACGGCACGTTCATCATCAACATTGGAGACCTGCTCGAAAGGTAACGTGGAACGTCGCAACATTTTCCACTGATGTTTTTGGACGGTACTTTGTGTATTGTGTGTAAGTACTGTATACCGAAAAATTTTCGCACTCGTCGGTGCGCGAAAATTTTTCTCC